CACCATCATTTTTAGAAATGCGTCACAAAAATCGTTTCGCCGAGATCAGGGTCCCTCCATCATGAAAACAGGGACGTCGAAAGAGCATAAGATTACGGATCCTTTGTCGTTTACGATGTCTCGCGCGATGGTAAGTTTGATTGTCGGTGGTTGCAATTTGCGCGGAACGTCAAGATCGCAAGGACTGCTGTGAGAAAATACGCTCGAGATTTGCGCGCGGTGCGAAAAGCTAAGCGAGAGAAAAGTTTTTATTTCGGCGTTTACGAAATCGAGTTCTTCCCGTCGACTTTCTCTCCTCCTGCTCTCGCATCAGCTCGAAGACGCAATGTCATTCTACATCTCGTCGTCTTTGCCATTTTGAGTGCCGTAAAACAATATCGACGTACGAATCCACGAAAGAGGTTTACGAACTTCTGAGCGTCCATGAAAATGCGTTGTTTATGACAAATGGAACCGTCTCAAGGCATACCTAAATGTATTATGTAATATTTTATCACGTGTGCGTATGTGTGTGTGTGTGTGTGTGCGCGCGTGTGTGCGTGTGTGCGTGTGTGCGTGTGTGCGTGTGTGCGTGTGTGCGTGTGTGCGTGTGCGTATGTGTGCGTGCGTGCGTGCGTGCGTGTGTGTGTGTGTGTGTGTGTGTGTGTGTGTGTGTGTGTGTGTGTGTGTGTGTAATCGTCTTACTGATTTATAAGATACATTGAGAATTTACAAGCATATTAATTATTGAATTGATTTTTTTACACATTGTAGGTGTTGCAATTAAAAGTTAAATTTTTTACAAATCATGGTTCGTTATATTATTTTTGATATCTTGATATCTAATATTCATTATTTACATTTTTGACATTGTATAATAAATAAAAATAGGCAGTATTTTTCACATTATTTATTACTTTATTTATTATCTTTAGTATTTTTAGTATTTTTAGTATTTTTTAGTATTTTTAGTATTTTAATGTTTTTAGTATTTTTCACATTATTTATTACTTTATTTATTATCTTTAATATTTTTAGTATTTTTAGTATTTTTTAGTATTTTTAGTATTTTAATGTTTTTAGTATTTTTCACATTATTTATTACTTTATTTATTATCTTTTAAAAAATAAAATATTGTTTCCAAATTCAATTTACTTTCTGAAGATCATTAAATTTTATGTAAAATTTTATATAATTCTCTCTAATTTTACATATACATATGTATGTATATTTTATAACTTATACGTGTATTTAAAATATAAAGATAACGATTTTACAAGCGTTTAAATTACTACTGCAAATTTCGTGTATGACACTTTTACACAGTTTATTCGCTATTTTAATTAGCAAGCTCTATTAATTATTCATATATTGCAGCAAAGTCAACCTTGTAATTGGGAGAAACGAAATGTTCGCAGGTACATATTTTCCTCTAAGACTGGTTTAGAGAAAGTAGAGAAACTCGAAAGTTTACAAAGTGTCTGCTGAATTTTAATTTAAATAGGAAATACTCAATCTAACGTTCAATGATCAGACTTTCTGTTTTAATTTGAAATAATAAATTTATAGACGTTTATCACAACAAACGATAATATTCTGTATTATATTTGAAAACAGTTAGAAATAAATTTAATTAATTATATTTTTCTAAATAT